TAATACATAAAACAATCCTCAGCAAATACAAAACAATCAAAATTATACCAAAGACTCTTAGACCACAGTACAATAAAAACAGAAATCAAGACTAAGAAAAATCATGGAACGAGATGCAATTACATGGAAATTAAATAACCTGATCTTGAATTACTCTTGGATGAATAATGAAATTAAGGCACAAATCAAGAAGTTCCTTGAAAACAATGAGAACAAAGATACAACATACTAGAATCTCTGGGACACACCCCAAGGAAGTACTAGGAGGGATATTTATAACACTAAATGTCCATATCAAAATGTTAGAAATAAATCAATTTTAAAACCTAACAAGACAACCAAAAGAACCACAGAATCAAGAGCAAACCAACACCCAGCTACTAGAAGACAAGAAATAACCAAAACCAGAGTTGAACTGAATGAGATTGAGACACAGAAAACCATTCAAAAGATCAACAAATCCAGAAGTTGGGTTTTTGAAAAAATTAATAAAGTAAATAGGCTTCTAGTTAGACTAATAAAGAAAAAAGAAGGAAGATCCAAATAAGTGCCATTAGAGATGACAAAATGGATGTTAACACTGACCCCACAGAAATACAAATAACCATCAGAGACTAATATGAACATCTCTAGCCACGCCAGCAAATCTTAAAGGGATGGAATAAATTCCTAGACTAATAACTCACCAAGACGATCCAGGAATAAAACTGATCTCCTAACCAGATCCGTGAATGATCTGAAAATTGCAATCAGTTAAAAATAGGCCTACCAATGGATAAGAAAAAAACCCAGGACCAGACAGATTCATAGCTGTTCTTAAAACGATTTACAAGAAGAAGAACTGGTAGCATTTCTGCTGAAACTATTCCAAAAAAGGAAAGAGAAAGGGACACCTCTTCAACTCTTTATATGAGCCACATCATCCTGATATCAAAACCTGGGCAGAGAACCAGCAAAGAAAAAAAATTCAATCTATGATGAATATTGAGATTGCAAAATCCTCATGAAGTCCTTGTGCCAGGCGGCGGTGGCTCATGCTTAATCCCAACATTTTGGAGGCCCAGGCAGCCAGATCACAAGGTCAGGAGTTTGAACCAGTCTGACCAACATGGTGAAACCCCATGTCTACTAAAGGTACAAAAAATAGCCAGGTGTGGTGGTGCACACCTGTAATCCCAGCTACTCAGGAGGCTGAGGCAGGAGAATTGCTTGAACCTGGAAGGTGGAGATTGCAGTGAGCTGAGATCACACCACTGCCCTCCAGTCTGGGTGACAGAGTAAGACATTCAAAAAATTTTTTAAAAAATTAGAAAATAATAAATAAAATACTTCCAAACTGAATCCAGTGGCACGTCAAAAAGCTAATCCATTACAATCAAGTATGCTTTATCACTGGGATGCAAGATGGGCTCAACATATGCAAATAAATAAATGTGATTCATCACATCAACAGAACTAAAGACAGAAAACATGATTATCTCAATAGACACAGAAAAGATTTTTTTTATAAAATTCAATATCTCTTCATGTTAAAAACTCTCAGTAAACTAAGTATTGAAGGAAAATACCTAAAAATAATAAGAGCTCATCTATAATAAATCCACAGCCAGAATTATACTGAATGGGCAAAATCTGGAAGCATTCCCTTGGAAACCAAAATAAGACAAGGATACCCTCTCTCAACACTCTTATTTGAGGTAGTATTGGAAATCTTGGCCAGAGCAATCAAGCAAGAGAAAGAAATAAAGCGCATCCAAATAGGAAGAGAGGAAGTCAAACTGTCCCTCTTTGCAGATGATGTGATTCTATATCTAGAGAACCCCATAGGCTTGGCCCAAATGCTCTTTCTGCTGATAAGCAACTTCAGGAAAGTTTCAGGATACAAAAATCAATGTACAAAAATCACTAGCATTACTATACACAAACAATAGTCAAGCTGAGAACCAAATCAGAAACACAACCCTATTCAAAATCACCATAGAAAGAACAAAATATTTAGGATTACAGCTAACCGGGAAGTTGAAAGATCTCTACAAGGATGATTACAAAACATTGTTCAAAGAAATCAGAGAGATACAAACAAATGGATAAACATTCCATGCTCATGGGTGGGAAGAATCAATATAGCAAAAATAGCTTACTGCAAAAAAAAAAAAAAAAAAAAAAAAAAAAAAACAATTTACAGATTCAGTGCTATTCCTATCAAACTACCAATGACATTATTCACAGAATTAGAAAAAAACTATTATAAAATTTATGCGGAACCAGAAGAGAGTCCAAATAGCCAAGGGAATCCTAGTCAAAAAGAACAAAGCTAGAAGCATCACACTACCCGATTTTAAACCATACCACAGGGCTACAGTAACCAAAACACCATGACACTGGAACAAAAACAGATACCTAGATCAATGGAACAGAATAGAGAATCCAAAAGCAAGGCCACACCTACCACCATCTGATGATCAACAAAGCTGACCAAACAAGCAATGGGGAAAGGACTCCTCATTTAATAAATGGTGCTGGGATAACTGGTTAGCCATAGACAGATGATTGAAACCAGACCCCTTCCTTACAACATATATAAAAAATCAATTCAGGACAGATTAAAGACTTAAATGGAAAACGCAAATCTACAAAAACCCTGGAAGACAACCTAGGCAATACCAGTCTGGACATAGGAACTGGTAGAGATTTCATGATGAAGACACCAAAAGCACATGTACCTCTGAACCTAAAATAAAACTTTAAAAATCATTTTATTGAAGAGGAAAATTGTCACAGACTGGTTGATTATATCAAATAAATATATAAACAGAATTATTTAAAATAGAGTGTAAGCCAAGAGATATGATGTTTTTACTAGCTTAAGATACATTGGAATTAATTATGTATGCAATGTCACATTTTTTCATCTTAACTGACTTATCATTAGCAAATATCTAATATAAACCTCCATGTACCAGAGACCATCTGTCTTCCAAGTATAACTGTAAGGAAACTGAAAACAAAGAGGGACCTTTCTGTAAATAATAGACTCCTCTCTAGGAATCTATTACTACCAACCAAGTTGGGCTGGTTGGTAAGAATTTAAATTAGTACAGCTATTATGAAAAACATTATAGAGATTCCTATAAAAATTAAAAATAGAACTACCCTATTATCTGATAATGCCACTATTGGATCTATATCCAAAGGAAGTGAAATTAGTATGTTGAAGAGGTATCTGCACTCCCATGTTTATTGAAGCACTATTCACAATAGCCATGATAAGGAAGCAACCTTATGGATATGGATAAAGAAAATGGGAGATATATATATCTATAACATTTTTTATGTGATATATATATCATATTTTATATGTGATATATGTATCACACACACATATATATATACACACACACACATACACACACAGTGGAATACTATTTGGTCATAAAAATAAGAAAATCCTGCCATTTGTGACAACATGAGTGAATCTGGAGGACATTATGTTAAGTGAAATAAGCTAGACACAAAAGGACAAATGCTGTATGATCTAACTCATATGTGGAATCTAAAAAACTTCAAGTCAAGAAAACAGTAGAATGGTGGGCACTAGAGCTTATGGGTGGTACGTAAGAAGGCGTGTTGGGATGTTGGTTAAAGAACACACATTTACAGTTTGGAGGAGTAAGTTCAAGAGATCTATTTTACAGCATAGCAATTATAGTTAATGGCAATATATTATATTCTTGAAAAAATGCTTGAAGAGTGGATGGTAAGTGTTCTCACCACGAAAATAAAAACCAAGAAAAGTAATACATTTGTCAGTTATCTAGATTTAACCATTCCACAATGTATTTATACAGTAAGCCCTCCTTTAACACAGTCAATACATTTTTGGAAACCAAGACTTTAAGTGAAACAACATACACTAAATCTTTTAATAACCTTGTTTTGTTCAACATCATTTCATTATAATATAAAGGAGAAAAAAAATGCTGTTTTTATATATCATTTTCCAGGACCTATTTATGATGTTATATGAGGAAGTACTGTACTACAAAACATGTTATTCCTAATAAATACATACGATTTTGTATGTCAATTTTAAAAATAAATAAGTGCATTTGAAAAAAATCAAAGTTGGATTTGTTAACTTCATTAGAGCCCAAAGTTTGTTCAAATTAATACCAACTCAACTCCAATTTTTGGTATATATACATCTTTTATTTACCCACGAAGTGTATTCCTCTACTTGAATTCTTACAGCCATTACGATGGCCAGTACAGATATTATCACCAATCATGTGGATCCATATGTTGTTCTACAGTTTTTTTTTTCACATGCTAGTCTTATTGCTTCAGCAACTCAGGGACAGAATTTTTCAGTTATCTTAGCACTCAGGTTAGTACAGTTAAAAAATGTTTTCTACACACAAATATTTTGATCCTCACAACACTAGGTATTATTTTTGTCTCTATTTTACAGGCAAGAAAACAGAATTGGATTAAACCCAAGACTAGCAAGAGTCAAGGACTTAGCAAACAAATACATCCAATTAGTGAGAGAAGCAAGACAGAGCCTTGTTTTCTCTTTTCCTTAAACAGATACATACATAATTTTAAATATGGAACAACTTTTTAAGTTATTTTGTCTGTCCCTTCATTTTTCAGATGAGATAGTTGAATCATGTAGAAGATAAGCGCCTTCACTATTTTTTACATCATCTTTATAATATGCAACTATTGTAATAATGCAAATATCCCATATTATGGTAGATGCACACATACGGTATTAGGTATTGCACAGAAATCTCATCCCAGAGGAAATGCCTCTGTCCCACAGATGCTGTGAGAATTAGTTACTGTGCCCACATCTGCCCCCTCTCAAGAGAATTGCCTTTGGCAGATGAGAACCACCTTGTCATCTCCCCACTGCTACTAACGACTGACTGATCATAGTTTAAAAAGGCTGTCTGGAGCACTGCCTCTGTTAATCAGGGAAGACTAGATTTTACCTGAGAACACATTCTTCCTTAGCTCTTTGTCCTTCCCTGTTCTGCTTCACTGTCTTCCTTTCTGCTGCAATGTACTTCCTCAATAAATCAGAGGCAATGTAATTTGTGTCTCAGCGTGTTTCTTGGAAACCTGACCTAAGATCGTGTGATCTTATATGGGTGTGTGCATGTGTGTTTGGGTGTGTGTAATAGATAATACACTGAATGGTAAACACATAAATAATTTACAATTCTGATATTTCAGTCATATAATTAGGCATATGACTGACAAAAAGGAATCAGGATATGAACCAAAGGGACTGAGGAAGCAAGAGAACAATGCAGATAAAGTGACACACAGACTATACCTTTCTTGGAAATTTATAAGTCACTAAATTAAGCCATTACATTAAAGGATAATTCAACAAAACAGCAACTGATTTATAAACCTACTATTTATTAATGAGAGGATAGTAAAATTAATTCTAATTCTAAAATGCACCTGAGTCTGTTCTCCTTAATTTATTGGTGAGGATACAGAAAATGAGAGATGCTCAATTATTTTTTTAAAGTCATCCTGGCAGGCTTTGATAGAACTGCACCTTAAACACTTGAATTTCTGGTTAAACTATGGTTGTTTCCTAAAATGCATAAAACAAGAAAGACTTCTTATAAAGACTCCTGAATTGGCAGTTCAATCAAACAAAATGCATTCGTGGAGGCATTTTATGTACTCAGAAAATACCAGGCTTTGGAAGGGATAATAATAAAAATGTTAATAATTCAATTTATTGAGTGTCACATGCCAAGCGTCGCACTAATAGTTTACTTACGTATTCAGTACATTTTATACACAAATTATGCTTTTCAGTCTCTAAAACCAACCTATGATATGAAAATTCACATTTCAGAGAAGGGAAAACTGAAGCTCAGACAGGATTTCTCAGACCTGGCAATTTCCAAAGACTGTAATCAGTAAACTATAGGTAGTTGGTAATAATGGGGAAGTAAAAGTCATAAAAAGCTGGATCTGGAGTTCAGCTGTAAGGCAGCGATCCTAGTTGCTCTTGTAGTAACTAATCAGTTTCGGGTGGTCAGCATAGAAATCCCAGGAAGGCAGCATCCAGATGTTGTTGTATCTAAGATGAGAGAAGGGCTGGCTAGGAAGAGATGGAAGCTGTGCTTTATTTATTATGTTATAGCCAATCTGGTTACATTGTACTAGTCAAAGGGTAGAAATAGAAGAATAATTTTAAAGAGTAAGAAAAGGAGCATTCCTAAAACAAAATGTAATGATTAATAGCAACAGTCACTAAGAGACTCATTGATAAGTTTCCATAGAGTAGTGGGAATAGATTAAAATGTATATACAGGACAAACCATTTGCTCTTTTAAGATAGAACTTGGATATCTAAATAAGAGCTGGAAGACACTCACTGCTAAAATTGGGAGACATGGGTCATGAAGGACCAACAATGACCTTGGGGACATGTAAATACAGAAAAGACAAACTAATCATGGAAAATGAGAGAACAAATGTGACTAGAAACAGCCATTTTGGACCCTTAAGGTCAGATTGAAGTCAGTCTGTCAGTCCAACGTGTGTATGATATTTTGTGACCCAAATAGACCACATGTACTTATTTAGCTTTATAATAAATGTACCAACATTTGACAAGCAAAATGCCTTCTACATCTAGTGGTCATTTAGTCGTAACTCGGTAAAAAGTTAGAGAAAAACTATCAAGTTTGAATAATGAGGCAAAAATATTTTTCCTTTTTATGCTGTTTTGTGTCTACTTATGGCAATTTCTCACAGAACTGCCTATAGCTTAGTAAGTCAAACCATGTCATAAAACTCAAGTGCAATCCCACAACTTACAAATATTAGGGGTAGATTTGTCTAGATACAGAAGAAAAGTACACAAAGTGGGAGAGAATTAACACTGGAAATTCTTACTACATGGCAGGCAGCTTACATATATTATGTATCACAATTAAATAAAAATAAGATCACTCCCATTTACAGATAAATATGATAATTTACAATCAGAATAATAATTTCCTAATAAAGTGGGTACAGTGGCTCATGCCTATAATTCCAGAACTTCGGGAGGCCAAGACAGGTGGATTGCTTGAGGCCAGAAGTTCGAAACTAGCCTGGGCAACATAGCAAGACTCTGTCTCTACAAAAAAAATTTAAAATTTAGCTGCGTATAGTAGTGCACACCATGGTCTCAGCTCCTTGGGAGGCTGAAATGGGAAATCCCTTGAGCCCAGAAATTCAAGGCTACAGTGAGTTCTGATCTAACCACTGCACTCTAGCCTGGATGACAGAGTGAGATCCTGCCTCAAATCAAATAAAATATGATATAAAATAAAATATAGAAATTTCCCAATACACATAGTTACAGAAATTTAGCCCATTTCCATTAGAACAGAAATATGAAGCTTTTAACAACATTCTACACCAGTAAGTGGAGAAGAGAATGGGCTGTGGATGCTTCTGAGTCTGGTCTTTCCCACAAAATACATTTTGCCACAGAAAGAGGATTGTGTAGAAGGCAGTTCCAAGGTGATTTTTTCCACATAGCTGATTTGGTTTATTGAGAGCTTCCACTTCACATGTTCATAAAGTAAATAGATTCTAGGAGTTAATTGGAGACATGGCAGCAAATGGTTAACCTTTTTTTAATGGTAAAATCCAACCTGATTTTCTGAGTTCTTAACTCTCTTATAACAGACATTTAGAAGTATCTAATTCTTGAACTTAAAATTAACCATAATTTTTAAATGTGCCTATTTAGTAGACATTGATTTGTGATTATATATTTTGTTACATAAATTAATAAATCTAAACATAAAAATGAAAATGAACAGAAACTTTTGAATTGTGCACCACATGGTGCAATCTATATGCCAACATGAGCATGCAGAAATGTCTGTGTGCTATGTATATGCTACTTGTGATTTATTAATTTATACTTCTTTATTTATATAAACTCAGTATTTAAGATTATTGTATTTTAGAGGTAGAGGAAATCTGAAATTGTTAGTCCCCCCCCACTTCATTATTGTGCTATGGAAACAAGCCTGGAATGATTGAAATTTTCCATAGATGAACAGAATCAAATAATGATAATTTAACATGGAGACCAATATTATGTTTAATTTTATACAACCAGAAAGTAAAAGTAAATACAGCACATCTTTGAACATGGAAATACCAATGAGTTATGGTGTGTTTGGCCATCGAGTTCTGAAAGTCACTGTGGCCTTGTATTTACAAACATTAAAGATAAAATTATTATCCAAAAGAGTGATGTCCAATAGTTTATTAATAAGCATTTTAGATAGCTGTAAAAAACATTGTGTTCTCTAGAGTTCATGAAAATTATGAGCTTAATTTCAATCCAACAGAAGTAATTCTAAAAACTCTAATGTTGTGATGATAATAATTTGGCTAAGAATTTTCAAACTATTGACTAGCAAAAATATGGATAAATTATAATATATGAGCTTCAAAGAATAAATGTACAATTACAAAACTTGGTATAGCAATTTACTTTTAAAAGGCATTTGAGGAATCACCAAATAATTTCAAAATCATGATTAGAAAATCAGCAATGAAATCTGAGACTATTGGTATGACAAATCCTGTTTCAGGCCTTGTTGATCTAGAGCTACTTGCACAACCAGAATTTGCCAAAACAGGAAATAGGTGTTTCATATATATGGCTCTAACCTTCTCTCTCTCCACCTTCCTTCTATCAGCAGATGAAATAAATACTTCATCCTGCTCTGGAAACCACTGGTAAGTGATAACTCCTTTATTTCAAGGTAAACAACACATTTATGCCTTCTCAATGATAAAGTGATATATTCAGTATATTTTATCTACGATTTTCCAAAGTTTATTGATAACTTTTAATGAGAGTAATCATCTTAACATATTCATTTTAAGCTGAGAAGCTAATATATAGACAGCTTTATTATTCCAAAAGCACTTTTATCCAGTTTGATTTTTAAATAAATTTTTACCTTTCATTCTAAAGTAATATAATTAATTCCCATGTCTATGACTTTTGGGAACAATTGTACTAGAACTATTTTTAATAGAAAAATGAAAAACTATGAATATATGTGTGTGCATACTTTTAGATCAGTCACTTTTACTAATATTAAAACATACAGCTATATGAGAAGCCATAGCAAAAGTTTTAAATTGGTTAAAACAAAATTATAGCACTGATCTCGAGATCAAACAGTATTTTATTAAAGACCATCAACATAAAATGCAGTTTACCTCATGAAATGCACTCAGAGTACAAAAAAAAAAAAGACTTATAAAAGTTTTCCAGTCAAAAGTCAATCTACTCAGTCACGTTTATGTAGGTAATTTAAATATAATATCTATCGTGCATATTTCATCTAAGGAAGCAATTTCCACATACAGTTTTATATTCTGTAGCACATTAGAAGTGATTATGAAGCATTAGATATTAGGAGACCACAGAACTACCTAATGACAACATGAAAGGGGTTACTTACCACTAGACAGAAGATTTTAAAGTAAAATGCTTTTCTTCCCTGTGGCTAAATGCTATCCAGGAAACTCTAGGAGTATTTACAATAGCCAAAGAAGATCCGGTGTTGCCTCTTTTGCTAGTTAAAACCAAATCTAGAATGTGTCTGCCTGTATGACTAAGACTTCTGAAAGCGGATCAAAAGTAATTAAATTGATGACAAGTTTCAAGCGTGGGAGTTACCCTACATTGATGAGTTGTAAGGTAAATTGGGCTTTCTGATTTGTAAGAGACAGGGATGAATTGGAAGGAAGAGCGTCAGAATTCTCAAGTAATGTAAATCTGATATTGCTATGAATTTCAGTCATGTTACTTATTGAATTCAAGTAAAAGGGAGGGAATTCATCCTTGAAAAAAAAAGTGCTTCTCAAGAAATGCAAGACAGCTATTCTTATTTGGATATCTTTACAAATTTCTTACTTGATGAAATATAGCAGTTTTGCAAACTTTGCATATTGGCATAGGCTGCTTTCTGTATCACAGATACATAATAAGATGAAAGAAAGCGATCACAATAAAGATTAACTATTAAATTTTAAGAAA